AATGAGAAGAAGAAAGGGAAAAATGGATATAATTTCCCACCCTCAGATTATGTCTCGAAAAAATGGCATGAAATGTCTTTTTCTATATTATAAAGTAAGGGTAAAAAAGTAATTACACTGTACAAACTAATGGTATCAAAATTCTGATCGTTGACTTGTAACACGACGGATTATTTTGTCGTATTTCCTTGTTCAGGGGTAAATGCGATAGTGGTCATAGTATAAGGGTGCAAATTGTATTTAACCGTAATTATAATAATAAATTTGTTTGAAAATACCTTAAAAAATTATTTAAAAGTGGAGTTATATTTAACATGATTACATTTTGACTCTCAAGTCTAAAGTCTTGTATATCCTCGTCAACGTCTTGCTTTATTAATAACTCAACCTTTAAAAGTCTAAAATTTCAACTGAAAATTAGTCAGAGTTAATAATCCATTATTAGGAATTAAGAATTTACTAATGCACGCAAAATTAGGTAATTAACAATTTGATGTACCATAATAGAATGACGGATGACCTAATATATACGTAGTTGGTGATATAATCTGTTAGATGAATACACATGGATAAGAAACCAAAATTATTAATGTACAGATAAAAACCCTGTCAATTAATATAGGGTTTTTTTGCATTAATTCATGACCAACTATCTTTATTATTCTAGGTTTAGGGGTTATATTTCTTTCGTCAGTAAGATCATTCCTTTAATATGTATTATAAATAAAGAAAAAATTAATGTATATGACAAAATTATCCCCAACCATTTACACCTAATTCTTAATTGTAACCCCAATTTAATCAATTTTGACCACAAAAATCCAATTTTGACTTCTTTTTTTCAAAAATTATATTTTTGCATCCAGTTTCCGGCATTGACTTTTCGATTTTTTTTGTCTGTTTTTTCCGCCGCCGGTCTTCGGCGTTGACTTTTTCGATTTTTTTTTTCTGGTTTGTTTTTTCCACCGCCGGTTTTCGGCGTTGACTTTTTTTAGTGGTTTTTTTTTTACGTCCACCGCTAAAAGTTGACCTTAATTGTGCTGTCATTAACAGTAATAATACTGCCACTGACATTAAATTAACGTAATTATACTGTCACTGACACTACATTAATGTAACTGTATTGCCGTTGACAATACATTTATGTAATTGTACTGTCGTTGACAGTACAATTAAAGTCAACGACAATATTATTATTTTTTAGGTTATTTAATTTTTTTTTTTTCATTTTGTCTGATTTGTTGACAAGTTAACGTAATTATATTACTGTCGTTGACAATAAAATAACTGTAAACACAATAATATTACTATCAAACCACATTAATATTATTATTTTTTTCGATTTTTTGTTTTGTTTGAGTTATTGACCGAGTAACGTAATAATATTACTGTCTACTATTGTAATATTACTGTAAACACAATAGTATTACTGTGGTTGATAGTGACTTTTGTTGTGTTAATAGTATTGTGCTAGAGATTAATATAGCAATATTACTGTGTTAAACTGTAGTATAGTTAATTTTACTGTGTTTAACAGTAATATAGTTAATATTACTGTTCACAACATCAATATCATTGTTTAAATGGGGGGCAAAAAGATGTTAAAGAAATAAAAATACCGAAATAGTCAACGCCGGAAACCGACGGAAAAATCAGAAAGAAGGAAAAAAAAATCAACGCCGGAGACAGGCGTTCAACGACGGTGACGGACGAAATTCTCCATAAAAATATATTTGGGTCAAAATTGAATAATTTGTGAAATTTGGGGTCAAATTGAAGCTAGATTAAATTAAATGATGAAATTGGAGCATATTAAAATAGGAGGGGCTATTTTAGTATTTTACAAACCTCTGGGCATGTGTGGACTATTTTGTAAAAGAGTTTATTGTCTGCACCGCCCTTTACGAATAAGTACACATTGATGGGCTTATTTGTAAAGTGCCCATTAATATATGGTATTATATGGAAGTGGGGTAAACAACATAAAACCCCCCTATGTTAAGAAAAACCTGCGTCAAACACCCTATATTTTTATTTTTTGTTGCGTAAAACTCCTTTATGCAATTTTTTCATAGCATTGGGGGATTTAGGGCATATCTTCTATAATACAAGGGATATTTATGCAAAATTACTTTATTCATTTAAATTCATATTATTTTCTTAAATTAAGTCGAATACATTTAATCAGCTAAAATATGAATAATAGAAATTTAATAGGTGTGGTGTATGTTTTTTTAAATCAATTTTTATATATATAATTTATTAATGTATTTAAAAAAATGTGTTTTTAAATATATAATTATTTTATTAGAATTATTATATATTTTTATCATTATCCTGGATTAATTATATATGAAAAAAAACGTGAATAATTTGAGAATTCGTTCCAAGTTCCATCTCGAATATTTTTTTTTTTACTTTTCATATTTTAAATTAATAGATTTATGTGACTTAATTTAAGAAAATAATTTGAATTTTAAAAGAATAAATTAATTTTGCCTAGATCCCCTTGGGTTGCAATTCCATGCTCCAAAATCCCAATGTGTTACAAAAAAAACTTGCATAAAATTCCCATATAGTTAACGGTGTTAACTTTTAACAGAAAATGGGATTTCGTGCGAAGTAAAATGAAACACAACAGGGTTTTACGCAAGAAAAAAAGCTTAGGGGGTTTGGCGTAAGTTTTCCTTAACACGGGGGATTTTATGATGTTTACTCTATGGAATTGGTTAACAAATTACAAATTTTACTCTCTCTCATCACTCATCTCTACTCTCTCTATTATAATTTATTTTTTAAAAATAGAAAAAAATATAATTTATTAATTTTTAGGGCTTATTTTATGTACCCCTAGGTGCCTAATAAATTAGGGATAAACTCAATAGAAAATTATCCTCATATTCCTTGAGAGGTGAAAGTACTATACTGCTCTTATATGTGATTTTCAGCCAAACTGCATTCAATATGTCTGGCATGCATTTATCATTTTCACTGATTTATTTGTTTTTTTATTTACTCTTTTTTTTTTTTTTTAAATACTTGTTTTTTATTTATTATTTTTTATTTATGTATTTTTTTTTATTTTTTTATAAATCGATACATTTACTGTTCTGAAAGTAACTAAATGTAATTGTAATAAACTATAGTCATTCTATAGTCATTCGTAAATGTTCTTTCTTTTCACCCCAAATTTTTAGTCCACCAATTATGCACACACACAAATATTGGCTTATACAAAAGAAATTTATAACCCCAAACATCAAAAAATTATAATTTCAATAGTTATATTATAAATCACCTCATAACCAACAAATAAAAATCGAAAATACATAAATATATGCATATCTAACTACATGTTACTATATGTACCTAATAATGTATAATAATGTATACAATCAGTAGAATACTGTAACTTGAAGCAGGTGTAACTTCAACCAAATGTTTTGACACCTTCAAGGACATGATCAATGGCTTTCATTAAGCTGCAATTTCAAGATCAAAACAAAATAAATTATTTTAGTGCAAATCAACAAAAAAGGAAGAAACATCAAAACACTCGAAAATCAACAAACACTAAGAGAGAGAGAGAGAGAGAGAGAGAGAGAGAGAGAGAGAGAGAGAGAGAGAGAGAGAGAGAGAGGGGCCATAGATGCAAAATGCTACGAATTTTAGACAAAACCGCCAATGACTCTTCACCCCAAGCGCCTTCAAAAGATCGTGGGCTGTAGGATTTTTGATTTGATGTTATTATATAATATATTGCGGTTTACTTGGGTTTTCCTTTTATGTTATTGGTTACATTTCTTTTTTCAATTCTCTTTTATGTTAGCTAACCTAAATTTCTCCCGTTTCTTTCTTTCTCCCAGACTTACTTTCGATCGACGACGTTACAAATCCGGCTCCGACTTCCTCATCTCATCAGTATCTGGCATCATACGTATGGAGAATATCATAGAGGCTCTCGCTAACTCCTTTCGCCTAACAACCGAAGAAGAAGAAGACAGTTTGTTGCTAGATGTTCAACCCTCACCTAGGGCTTCTGGAGTAATCGATCGGCTCGTGGGTTGCATCATCACCTGTCGAGAAATTTCATCACACACGATCTGATCTAACGTTCTTCGGCTATTGAAACCTGTCAAGGTCTGCCAGATTCAACCGCTCGGGACCAACACATTCCTCATCGAATTACAACACCATTTGGATCATAAACATGCGCTCGAAGGCTGCCCGTGGTTACTCGATAAGAATGCACTCATCTTCCAAGATCTCGGGACGGATGATGACCCCCACTGTCGTGATGATCAACCATATGCCCATTGTTATACGACTCCATCATCTCCAAATGAGCCATCAATCGCTTAAGGTGGTGACACAAATTGGAAACAAAATTGGTAAGTCGTTGGTGGTGTTGAACCAAAAGCGTATGATGATTGGCCAATATGTCACTAGGCCAAAACGCAAGACTGGTGACGAAATTTGGCGACATAAACTGTCTTCTCGCGACGTTTTTTTACGCATTGTGATGCATTATTTTAGTTGCCAAATTACGCTAAAATCGTCGCCAAATGCCCCGTCGCAAAGACAGCGACGAAAATACATTTGCGACGCCAAGTTTGACGACGAAAGATATAATTCGTCCCTGAATCCGTATTTTCTGAAAAAAATTGTTTTTTTATTACTCGCGATGGATAAGACTATTTCGATGTGTGGGACGAATATAAATAAAGTCGCAAACTATCGCAACGAAAATATATTCCGTCGCAAGTTCTCTGAATATTTTGGCAACTAAACAGAATTTTCGTCGCATGACTCGAATCATTTTGGCAATGATTACTCAAATATGATTCATCGCAAATGTTAATATTTAGTTTGCGACGATTTTTTATTAGTCGCAAATGCTTTTTTTTAATATTAATTTTATTTATTTAATTATTTTCAATTTAAAAATTTAAATCCACCTATCAGGTGTTAAAAAAAAAACTAAACAATATTAAATCAAAAATATTAAAACCACGATTACGAATTAAATATCAAGATAGTACACAAACATCAATTCAAAAAGTACATAAAAACTTGAAAGCATAAATGTATTAGTTTAAGAGGCACACTAATTTCATCTGATTATTATACTCCACTATCATTAGGACGAGTCGCCGTTGAGGATTGTAATTCTTGTTGTCTAAAACGCTCGAGCAAGTCATCCATGTTATCACTAACATCAACACATACATCACCAGGTTCATTTAAGATTGCAACTTCGAGAATTTATGCATGATTAGTATTGTTCATTTCCTCGCCATTGTATTCTTCTTCGGACTCTCGATGCAGAGTCCATCGGCGTTGCCCATAAAGTTTATCCCAACCCCTCCAAAGTAAATGTTTATGCACGAATTCACGATCCCCCCATTTACGACACTTACAGTCTCTACATGGGCATCTTATTTTATTATCAACGTCACATTTAGCAAAGGCAAAATCCATAAATTCCACACACACCTTTTGATATATTTCTAACCGACGGTCATCTAATAAAACCCAACTCCTATCTTTTGGCATGTTTTACTCAACAAGTATACCTAGAAATTGGGAAGGGTCACAATTATAAAATAAATAAATTATTCTATCAAGTCAAAATTACATTCAGAAACCAAAACTAAATTAAGGTTGTGCCGAATGCTAACACCGTATAAAATTTTTGAGATTGCGGAACGGAAACAAGGAGGATATTGAAAAATTTAGTAAAATTTGCTACATTTTGGTTTTTTATTAAAAATGTAAAACCATTATCACATTTAAAACAAGTTTATTCCTAATACACACATAGACATATACGCACACACAAACACACCCACAAGCATATGCACAGACACACACAGAGTTATACAATTTATACATTTATACACACAGTTATACACACAGTTATGCACATAGCTATACAATTTAAATAGTAGATATTCACAAGATTTGGTAGTTTTCTTCACCTCATTTACTAATCTTACTTTATCTGTAAAAGAAATAGCCAGTTTCTTGAAAATTAATTTGAACTCACAAATGTAATCTTTAAAAACAAATAATAATTCTTGCAACCTTTTTTTTTTTATATCTCCTACGAGGTTAAAAGAGCAGAAGTAGAACTTGCAGAGAAGATGAAGTTAATTTCGAACTGGTTTTCTAAAATTATTATTCTAATACAATATTACATTTATTAAATTCTGGTTTTATAATATTATTAATCAATTTTATTCTGCAATTGAAGTATACAATTTAATACATGAAATTTTATGTTTCATAAATGTACTTTTATTAAATAAACGGCCAAATTACCTTCAAGTTGTTGAGGGACGGACGGCGCACGGCGGTGGATAGAGGAGGACGGAGATTGGCAGCGGCGACGTAGGAGGGCTGGCGGCGGTGGAGGACTGATGGGGGACGGCGGACGGCGGTGGATAGAGGAGGATGGAGATTGGGGGTGCCGTTCAGAGGCCGAAAGAGATGGATTAGGGCTGACGGAGGAGGGCTGATGACGGTGGGCTGACGGGGGACGGCGGGCGGCGGAGGGCTGGTCGGAGAGAGAGAGAGAGGAGAAGAGAGGCGGAGAAGCAAAGTAAAATTAGGATCTGATTGAAAACCAAAATTAAACTAAACTTTGCGACCTCTTTACAATTTACGTCGCCAAAGAAATTCGTTTTTTTTAAAAGGAAACGTAGCGACAATTACATTATTTTCGTCGCGAACAAACCACGAAAAAAAATTTGAAAATCTACGGCGACGGTTTCACAGATCCGTCGCAATAAAAGACGTTTTTTTTTTAAACTTAAATATGGCGACGTTTTACTAAAGTTTGTCGCCAAATATTAATTATTATTTAATGATTGGACCTTTATTAGCGACGTTTCTCTAAATACGTCGTCACATAAATTATTTTTCTTTTTTTCTTAAAGAAACATGGCGACGTATTACACCGTTTCGTCGCTACGTTGCAAATATAAAATTCCAAAATATATAAAGCGTGCGACGGTAAATGTAATAAATTTCGCCGCAACAAAAGTATTTTTTAATTTTCTTTTCTGATATGCGACGTTTTCAATTGTTTAGTCGCTAGGTAGCGACGATTGTGCAAAATCGTCATGGGGTCTTTTAACTAAACCGGAGTTTTTTACACACAGCGACGATTTTCATTACAAAACGTCGCAACGCGGAGACGAACCGGGAATCGTCGCTATAATAAATGTCGCCAATCTTGCATTTTGGCCTAGTGTGTGCGACTTAAGGTGCAAATTGATGTGACAAAAAGCCTACGGAGAGGTATTTATATCCACGTACAACTCGGTGGGATCCAAACTATGGGCTCCTTTCACGTACGAACGACTTCCGAATTTTTGCTTCCTATGTGGGGTCATTGGACATGGCTAATCCAAATGCCCGAATCGGTTCCAGGACGGCTTTGCTGATTCGTGCACTGATCTTCCTTATGGAAATTGGCTCCGGGTTTCGGGATTGGAGGAGGACCATCCGAAACTTCCTCCGCAGGCTGTTGGCGTAGGCTCTAGTTGCACCAATCGAGCCAATTCAATGCCTACTCAACGAGGGTTGGGAATTTTCGATCTCTACACAAATCCACAACAGTATTGCTCAAACACGTGACCCTGTGGAGAAGGAGAATCTTCCCCATAATGTGGTCTATAATGCAAACCTGGTGAATAACACTATCCAGATATGGTTCGATGACATCGAGGGAACAACAACGCACAAACGAGTAACGGTGCCTAAGAGAAATGGGAAAAAGCGAACAAATACACCAACTGAGTCGGACCAACTGAGAAACAATAAAAGAAACAGCACCTTCAGCTTTGGGCCGATTGACAATCCCTAACCGGAAAAAGTGGCGGACATCATCGATCCCACGACACACTCATGGAATACCTCGATTATTAATGAAGTTTTTTAATTTGGCCGGTGGACAAGGACCGTATCTTGGCGGTGCCCATTGGGAGTAGGCTGGCGGGAGATAAGATGATTTGGCGCTTCACCTCACATGGAAATTCACAGTTAGATCGTGTTATCGGCCTACTCCCGAACTCACGTTTCGTCGAGTGGCACCTCTAATATGAATTGGACAGTTCTTTTGGAATATTGATGTCCCACCGAAAGTTCGTATATTTCTTTGGAGAGTTTTCCTTAATATTCTTCCCACAAATGCTAAAATGTATCGTAGAAAGATTGCTATTAACCCACGTTGTCCCAAATGCAATGCGGTTGAGGATCTATTGCATGTA